AATCTCAACAATCTACGACATACTCTTATTTTTCATTTTGGTACAACCAAAGTCTCCTGCTTTATAAGTTGTAAACAACTCTCTCTTAGGAACACAATGATATGCTACTCTATGTCAACTATCCACTCAATGTCGGGATCATCAACATGATTGCAATCACCATGTGTATAAATCAAAGTAACTGAATCACTATCTGAATTCACTGCTATAACATTACCATCATTTAAACTCTTACCTTTCTCATCTTTTCACTCTTGTTTTAAGATTTTATAGTGTCATTTTATATGACATATTTTACCATAATGAAATCACTTCACTTTATCTTTGGACTTAGATATATGTTTAGATTTACTACAATCTTTTGAGTTTTGATATCTATCGATGTTTCTATCCCTGTTTCTGTGACTAGAGTTTGATTTTCAGCGTCTATATCTTTTCATCTTACTTTTTTATTAGCATACTGTCTTTTATTGTCTCCAATGTCACCTTATAATCAGAAATTAAATTAAGAACAATCATAACTAGAATATTCTAACTGTCTGACAATGAACCCAAAAAAAATAATGCCTTTATTTCATCATCCATCTTAAACTCCATAATAGTAATCCGATTGAATATGTCTTGAAAATCACTCAAGTACTCTATAGTCGATCGTCCATCATTATACTGTAAAGTTACAAGTTTTTTAACAAGCATAACTTTATTCATATTTGTTTTTCTCTTATACAATACTGTAATTGTTTCTTAAACAATATGTGCATCTGCCTCTTACACTACATGATGGAACATGTTGATATCAACCCATTTTTTGATTGTAGCTAACGTCTTTCTGCCTAACTTCTTCCAGCTTTCATCTTTTATATCTGCTGGTGTAGTCGAATCACTCAATATCGATTCATACAAATCTTTGCAGTATAAATGATCCTCTATCATAGGCTTTCAAATTGAATAATTTGATTCTATCAATTTTATCATGAAACTTATATCATCTTCCATGATTTCAAATAAAATTTACTTCTGTCTTGGGCTGCTTCTATATCGTTGTCTCAAAATAACCTTGTTCTGATATCACTTGTTACGCTTGAAGCAATAATCACAATAATACAGAAGTAATATATATCGTAATAAACTCACAGTAATAAACAACAATCAACAATAAAAAACGTAAAAAAAATAAAGTACATCAAGATTTACGTGAAAAATTTTTCAGTGTAAAGGAAAAAATCACGGACCACCAAAAAAATATCTATAAATAATAGATATACAAAGTTCTTCTTTAACTAAAACTAGAGTTAATCAACTAGAAAGATAATTGAAGAAATTTTACCAAATAGGTAACTCAACAAATACACATTGAATTTGTTCCTAGAGAGCTTCAAACTCGATCTTCACAATTTAAAATGTAGAACTCTAAATCGTAAACATGCTAACAAAGTTTCAATTCAATCAGACCGCGAATAACTTTCTTTCAACCAATTCTCTCTTTTTTTTTTCTCTCTACTTTTTCTAATTTTCCTTTTTTTTCACTTTTTGATTTGCGATATTACCTTAAAACAACCTCACATCTTTTTTATTAAGTAACTAAAATTGTGTAAAAAAAAAAACCAATACTTATAACCTTTACTTGATCCAAAACTAATTACATAGTATTGAACCCATTTTCTTAACACAAACAGCGGTGAAACTCACAAAGGACACGCAAAATTGGAATGCCCGTACCTTTGGAAATGTGTTAACGAAAAGAAGAAGGCTTCTGGCAGACGCTCTTGAGAGGGCACCTAGCCAATTCTTAATTAACCTTCAGAAAAACCTTATGGGAGAGTACAACCAAGTCCTCAAAGCTAAAGAGGATTTATGGGCCCTTAAATCAAGGGTTAACTGGCTGATGGGTGGTGAAAGAAATACACGATTTTTTCACGTGACCACCATCATCAGGAGGCGATATAACCGAATCGTTGGATTGGAGAATCCAGAGGGGAGATGGATGGAAGACCCGAGAGATATGAGCCAGATTGTTCAAAACTATTTCCAACAATTGTATTCTTCATCACAGGTGCTTAGTAAGCGGTGGGATAGTGACGGCCCCATGCAAATTACTCAGCTCTCTGACACGAATAAAGAAATCCTTGTGAATCCCATTACAGAAGTGAAATCCATAAAGCCGTTTAGTCCATGAAAGCTTATAAGACACCTAGGCCTGATGACCTTCATACTTTCTTCTATCAAAGATGCTGGAGCACGATTAAGGATAAATTTTGTGATACAGTCTAAGAATATTTTCTGCTCTGCTCTGATCTCCCTTATTCCCAAATGTGCAAACCCTTCCTGTATTGACCAATTCAGGCCCATCAGCCTGTGTAATATAAATTATAAGATTGTGTCAAAAAGTTTGGTTCAAAGAGTCAGACCCCTGATGGACAAGCTTATATCCCCGTTTCAAGCGAGCTTTGTCCCTGGCAGAAATGGGTACGAAAATTGTATTATTACCCAAGAAATGATCCACACTTTCACGAGGAAGAAAGGGAAAACGGGGTATATGGCAGTTAAACTTGACCTTGAGAAGGCATATGATAGGATCGAATGGAGCTTTGTTCGAAAGGTGCTCACCTTTGTTAACTTCCCTCAAGCCATAATCTCCCTGATCATAAGCTGCATCTCTACTTCTATCTCTATCTTATTGAACGGTAGGCAACTGGAAGAATTCCATCCATCGAGAGGGATTAGACAAGGGGATTCGTTGTCCCCTTATATTTTCATTCTCTGTATGGAGTTCCTAAGCCTTAGGATTATGGAAGAGTGTGAGAAAAAACAGTGGTGGCCCTGCAAGACCTCCAAGAAAGGACCTGCCATTGCTCACATCATCTTTGCTGATGATATTATCCTCTTTGGGAAGGCAAATAAAAAAACAGCCTCAGCCATGAAAATGGTTCTTACTTCTTTCTGTGTGGAGTCGGGACAGAAGGTGAATCTTCAAAAGTTAAAGAGTCTTTTTCTCTCCAAACTTGAGCCAGGAACAAAAAACGAAAATGGTCAGGCTTTTAGACATTCAAGAGACTGTCAATCTTGGTAAATACCTTGGCTTTCGACTCCATAAAGGTCGTGTTAAGAAAGATGACTACTTATTCATTGTAGTTAAAATTCGTGCATAGCTCACGGGGTGAAAGGCAGGGCTCCTCTCACCGGCTAGTAGATTGACGTTGTTAAAGTCTGTGATGGAGTCTATTCCCTGCTACTATATGCAATGTCGGGCTTTACCTACTAGTGTTTGGAGAGAGCTCGACCGTATTAATAGAAACTTTTTGTGGGGAGAAACTTAAGGAAGAAAAAAGGTCCACCTCCTTTGTTGGGGAGCTGTAACCAAAGACAAAAATGCTGCTGGTCTTGGGTTAAAAGAGGCTAAGGTTCAAAATCGGGCACAGCTGGCCAAACTGGTGTGGCGATTTATAAACCAAAAAGATGCATTATGGGCTACAACTCTCAGTGCAGAGCACCTTCCTGCAGAAGATGGTATCAAACCTAGCTCTTGCACGTCACCTACCTGGAGAGCTATGAAATGGGCAGGACCCATCGTGGAGCAAGTGTCACGGGTCGAGACTCAAGCTCCGAACCCGCGCGGCTCCGGGACCCGGGCATTCACCCTTCCGGCGTCCCAGATCAGCCTTTCGCCACGGTTCACACCCTTGTGAGGTATTGTCCGCTCTGGCCCCCTGGCCTCACGGTTTTGTCCTACAAAAAGCGCCTCACAAGGCGGAGATGGTGTGAACCCTTTTATACCCCAGGGACCTTCCTATTATGTTCGATGTGGGATTCAGGACTCCCCCTTAGGTCCGTGACATTCTCCCGCACCCAACCTCGTGACGCCCTCGTCACGAAGGCCGGCCACCCTGCCTACCTCCCTCGAGGCGCTCGGCGTGGATCGAACGGTTTATGGCTGGCTCTGATACCACTTGTCACGGGTCGAGACTCAAGCTCCGAACCCGCGCGGCTCCGGGACCTGGGCATTCACCCTTCCGGCGTCCCAGATCAGCCTTTCGCCACGGTTCACACCCTTGTGAGGTATTGTCCGCTTTGGCCCCCTGACCTCACGGTTTTGTCCTACAAAAAGCGCCTCACAAGGCGGAGATGGTGTGAACCCTTTTATACCCCAGGGACCTTCCTATTATGTTCGATGTGGGATTCAGGACTCCCCCTTAGGTCCGTGACACAAGGACTGGGATGGTGTATAAACAATGGGGAGGAGAAGAGTTTCTTGTTGGACAATTGGGTCGAGGGAGGAAAACTCAGGTCCCGCATCCAAGGCCCTCTCAATGTAAACGAAGAGCAGATCAAAGTTAAGCAATGTCTAGAGGCCTTAGATTGTCAGCAGGATATACCTATTTCCTTCACCCTTCTTCATGACATTATGGATTCAAAAAGCGCAGTGCCCAAGCAAATGAATAAAATCATTTGGACGGCCTCAAAGAGTGGCATTTTAACGCTAAGGTCGGCTTAAGATCTGGCAAAGGGAATCAAAGGTGAACCTAGTAATATGAACTGCTAGTGGAAATGGCACCTTAAAGTCCCCCAACTTCAATTCTTTGTTTGGGAATGCATGCATGGGATATTGTCGACGAGGAAACTCTTGGCTCATAGAGGTGTACAGGTTCCTGAGGCATGTGTTTTCTGTGGACAACACCCAGAGGACTTGGAACATCTGCTGCGAGATTGATACTGGGTGAAAGATATCTGGAGGAATATCAAAGAGAGGGGAAACGAGATTCTCTACCAACAGAGAGAGATGGACTGGATCAATGGAAACGCCATTGGAGAAACTCGCAAATACCTTAAGGGTATTCGTTGAGATATTCTGTTTGTCTTTGTCCTAAGGGAGATATGGCTGGAAAGAAATCATAGCATCTTCAAAGGATAAAGGGAGAGAATTGGTGTACTAGGGAGAGCTAGAGCAAAATCTTTTCCATTTTAGACATTGAATTCTTTGATCAGTCTTATAAATATACATATATATTATTTTTTTGTTTTTCAAGTGTGGGAGTAATAATAAACCCAAATTCAATTGATTTTGGGAAGCAAAAAGCTATTGTTAAGAGTTATATTACAAAAGATCGAGCCTTTTTTTGCTAAATTAATAAGGAGTTTGAGTTGGTATTTTGTTTACGGAATTCGAATGTTATAACAATCGAAGAAAAAAATGAAAAGATTCGAACCCGTACCTGCCGCCTGACATGTCCTTTTTGAGCTTTTTCATACCATGAGCTGAATGGTATTTGTAACTCAGTTGCTGCGAGTTAAAAAAAAAGACACCACTGTAGGCCTTGAAGGTAAAGACTTAAATTGCAGGAATTAAGATCAAGCAGTTTCTGGGCGCTTCAGAATGTTAGAATATTAATCACACCGAAAGATGAACATATCAAACTGGAAACTTGTCACACCTATGACAATTAGTAACAAAAGGTTAGAGAAAAAAGAGGTTACTGCAACTTCTCTCTGTCGTTGTACAAAGGAAAAAAGGTGTAAAAGAATAACGAATTCTACAGTTACAACAACAATTTTGTGCTGTCCATATCAAAGCTAAGGACAGCATTCCAGGCAATCATCAAATTCTGCCACTAAATTCAAAATTTTAGTAATCAAAATTATGAAAATGGAGATAGTAGAAAAGTTCACGATAGCTGTCTAGTCATCTTTCCCGTTCCCCTTACCTTTTGGACTTCTAGATCCACATATGCTGAGAGAAAAAAGATGCTCTGATTCTTTTGCAGAGACCTGCATTATCTAAGAATTGTTTTAAAATTTAAAATATAATGAATTTAATGGAAAATTTGAATAGACCCTAGAAAGAACTAAACCAATAGAAAATTCAGTCAGTGGTTTGGTCATGGCAATGTAAGTGTGCCAATGCATGCGTGTGACATATACAAACCAATGAAAAGAAACTATAGAAATATGTAATTACAAAACATGCATATATAAACACAAAAAGAAAAAAGAAGAGGTATTTTATACTCGATGAAAACAACAAATGTGCCCTGAAAAGCAGAAATGATTTGGACAGACGAGGCACAATAATTTACAAGAGGACATAAAATAGAAAAGAAACAACTGTAATTATATGTTCTAACAAAATGCTATGGTGATGTTAATGATGCAAACTTTTATCTCTCCATTGAATTTAAATCAGAGTTTAAAAGATTTAATGGTCTCAAAATAGTATAACACAAAAACAATGAGCAGAGAGTTGATACTTGAAAAAATCCATTAACTTCGGTTACAAACGGGTTAATGTTTCCTCTTCAATATTCACATATGCCAATAGCTCAGGAAACTTAACTGCAAAGACAGGAACACATTATTAATGTTGCAAGACTGCTAAGATTTGCATAGTACTGTCAATATCATAGATGACTACTAAAATTAAGACACAAACATGTTGATATATGTCCCAAGGTGATGTCTCCGAAACAGGCTCACAGGACATGATTGTATCCACAAATTGATATAACTGCAATGCCAGGTAACTAAGAATGATGTGTCCTAATTCTATAAACAATTTCATTTGTCACTTGTGTCACCTATGGGCTTAGCATGGATTTTAGGGTTTGATACTAGAGATCAATAAAATGCTGAATGCATAAAAAAGAAAAAAGCTAAAACAAATGCCTGAAGTGACACATTAGGCAAAACATAATCTTCAACACTGTATCAAAGACGAAAGTAAATTAATGCACTAAAAAATGCTGTGTCTGACAGACAGCCGTACCAAAGAGGCGTAATAAAAGCTCAGCACCATATATAGTTGATGGAGAGACATCATCAAGGACTACTTCATGGTACTGTTGGCGCTCTTTCTTGTATAGAAGCATCACACGCAAAGCTTTGTCGAAGTAACAGCAAATTCCTTTCAAGATTTCTCCAATTGAATCAGTCATTCTGTACCCAAGACAAACAGTCTATGTCACCAATTCTACATAGCTTAGTCATTTGAAGAGAGCATCTTAGAAATGTCATGGGATTTGGATTTCAGAGGCAAACAAATTCCAAGGACAATTTCTGATTTATAAGTACCATTGAGCTACTATAATTACAAGTTTGAACAGTATTGCCCCTAAAATTCTGCTTTTAAATTAATATAAAGATGATTCGTCTCTTTTGAATAATTTATTAAGACCATTTGTTTTTCTTATCTGTTGGTTTCAGATTACACCTTATAAAATATTACTCCAAAATTTCATTCTTAATAGATGTTTTACGAGTAAATATATACAATTAATACCAAGGGATGTCAGTGTAAATGGTACATAGAGGGCAACAAATTTAGATGGATAGAAAGCAACAACAGAGATATCTAGGAACAAATTAATTATTGTCAAAGTTGGAAATTAATTATTCAAAAACAAGTTATAGCATAATTTATCATGATTTTGCAGACAGGGGTGAATGGATTTAAAAGTAAACTTACGTAACATCCTTCTTGGACCTGTATTCAAGGTACTTTGTCAAAATATCATCAACATTTGGTGATCGAGGAAGTTTAAAAAGCTGCAGAAAAGATGGATTATTGCCACCAAATCAGTTTATTACTGTAACAGCCATAACATAAGTTTCGTTAAATGGCGGCCCAACTATATTCAATAAAAAAACATGAGACAATATAATCAAAATGAGCGAATTACATGAGTTTTAAGCTGTACAAAAGATCAAGGTTTCAGAAGTTTCATGTAAAGGCTACAAAAACCTCATTGCAATAACTGATAAATAACAGAATTATTATCAAGGCAATTATAACTTCTATACTTTTATTCAAGTTAGATGATCAAGCAAAAAAGTAGTATAATAAAAGAAAAAGTTATTCCAGCAGTTCATGCACCTTATCCTGCTGAGTAACAAGTTCCCAATAATCAACAAGCTGCTTCTTTAGGGTTATTGGGATTTGGATCTTGACAAGATTTTCCACGAATGAATTGTCCTTCTAAAAATTATTAACACACATGTTGAAAAAAAAAAGAGAGGGTAAGAACCAATGGATTTAGACTAGAAATAAGAAAAATAAAAGAACAAATAATTTCTCAACAGCTGTAATTAATCATATACAAACCAGACCTGGACACCAGAGTCACTCTTTCTCTTCTTCCGTTTTGCCACTGGAATAAGTATAAAAAATTAACCACCAAAAGAAAAGGTTAATGTCTTTGCAAGCAGTCACAATATTACTTAAGAAAAGGTTGACAATAGGCAAAATAATGGAATTAAGCGAATGCTGAAGCAGACCAATAGGAATCAATAGATGACTCCATTTATGTATGGCATATGAATGCAAAATAACAAATATAGTGAATGTGGCCGTTAACACAACAGTAACAGCCTATGAGGATTCTTTTCCTTTTTTCTCCTATAGGAGAACTTTGGCAATTTAAAATCATTCTAATATGTTAACAAGGAAATATCAATAAACAAATGCTACTTAAAACCACGTCCATCAATCCCCATAGAATGCCAATACAACTCTTAACTTCAGACGCCATAGAACTAAAGGCCAAATGTAACTCCACTAGCATTTGCTGAAAGTTCAATACAACCTCCACTCAACTACATTAACTGAAAGCTAAAGCCAAATCTAATACAAGAACTAAAAATCATACAAGAATATCAAAATCATGAAAAGTAATTGATAGGACCCCCTTAGGACAGGATAGAAATAGACTGATGATAAAGAATAGACACTCACAAATGAAAGAAAATCAATTATAAAGACAAGAGAATACAAAAAGAAAATAAATGTAATATAAGTTTACCAGTGTTCTTCAGGTCCTCTTTATCCACTTTTGCATCTATAAAATAAATAAATAAATAAATAAAAGCAGAAGAAAGTTAGATGGGATCAATTAGGGAATGAAGACACAATAACGAAAACAATAAAATAGATCAAAACTTGGCACTTACTAAAAATAAGGCAGTGGAAAACTTGGAAGATCTTATGCCCTCATCTATTGAGGAATAGAAGTAGAATCTAGATGAAATAATGGCATTCATAGACTTATGCATGGGGAATGCTTCCACTTAACCCAAAATACAAAAACAGGATTCCTTAACGGGCAACCTTTCTTATAAACATCCAAATACATGCACATGATAAATAACCAAAAGTATTTAGTATATTAATAAACAAGTGAATAGGTAGAAAGAGTTAAAATAACCAGCAGAGCTTTTTGGCTTGGTCTGACTTGAACACCCAGACTTTGAACTTTTGTCAACACCCTGTTTTTTGTCAAAGGCTTGCTGCTTCATGACATTCTCTTCAGTATGTTTCATCAGCCGATCATCACCTACCCATTCGTCCCAAATGTTGGTAAGATGTCCAAGCCATAGTAATGATTTCTGTTTCCCTTTCCGGAAAGAGGATATATAAATCAATGAAAGCAAACATTTCCTAGTAATCTGGCTTACCTTTTAGGATTCTATAAAAACATAAATGAATTATTCCCCACAAAAAAAAAAAAGGTAAGAACAAAAAATTATGCAAAGTTTAAATAAAATAAGCTCTTATTTCTCTTGATTTTGAACTTGCCGTCGTGCGTAACTTCTTGGAACTTTACTATCCTTTTTTTATAATAAGGGAAAATGACACTAATAAGAGATTAAATATAATAGTTTAAGACATGACACAATCCCAAAATTTAATTTGATGAACCCCTACCTTGACTTGAAAGCATAATGCTGCTTAAAATCTATATAAGGATCATTATAGAAAGGCATGTTCTAGACTTCTAGTCCTTAAAGGAACAAGTGTTCAGAGGAGTAATTTTAAGTAAATTTTACATGGACAGTTAAAGTTTAAAATTTAAGATGCAGATCAACAATCAGAAAAATTCAAATAATAAATCAATTGAAAAGCAAAAATAAGATGGTAACTTTGATTCAGTGGAGAACATGTTATAGAAGACATACTTTTTATTCCAACCCTGCAAAACAGCAAAAGAGATCTCTTAATACCATAAACGAGTAATTCTCAGCTTATCCAACATAATCTACGCGAAAACTAGATTAAGCATTATATAGAATTATATATATTATGGTAAAGTTAGGGCAATTAGACTTACAAGGTAATGAACAAAGTATTTCCATTCTTTATTCCGCAGCTCCGCTCTTTGAACCTGAAATGTAAAATCAAAATTCATCATCTTCATAAACCCCAATTTCACCAATCAATCCTCAAATGCTCTAATTATGGACTACAGTGACCTAAAGAAACCACTCAATTAACCTCGGTGTTGGATCACTTACATCAGGAACCAAAAACGAGCATAAATATCATATTTCAAAAAAAAAAATCAAAGAATTCCAAGCGAATAAATAAGCAGTGACAAATTTGAAAACGAAGGGGTTAATTCAGTTTAAAGCGTTGGCAAAAAAAAAAAATCAGTTTAAAGCAGCGCCGAGTCAAAACAATGAGCCAAACTGAAAAGGACAAGAAATTAGGTAAAATGTGGAAGGAAAAAAAGAAGAGAGAGAGGAGAGAGAGAGAGATACTATACCTTGGCTTCGTAGAGACGAGGGCCGTGATAGGCAAGGACACGTTCGCCCTCAGAGAAGAGGTCGGAATTGGAGGGAGGTGTGTCTCCGCTCGACGCATCGGCGTCCGCTGTCGCCTCCCCCTTCAACGAGCTTCCCATTTTTATTTTGTTTTCTGATTTATTTTTCTGATTCTTTGCTGACAGAAAGAGAGGGAAAGAGCTGATCTGTGCCTGACTCCAGCTCTGCGTTTTACATTTTTTTTTTAATATGAAAAAATGTTTTACGGTTAATCTAAAACACTCGTTCCACATAATTTAATTTTTTAACTATATAAAGATTAATTGCCTTAATATAACTCTTATAAATCTTAACCTTATATTTTAGGATTAAAAACCGCTACTTAGCTAAAATTTTGAAGACTAAATGAAATAATGTCCCTTTTAAGATATTTTGTAGGAAGCTACTAATGAGGTAAGTGTTTTCAATTATAATAAATAATTTTTTTTACTAATTTCAATAATTAAATGTAAAATTTCAAAAAACCTGTTTGAAATTCCAATATTTTGTGATGTTTATCTTTTTCATATTTCAACAACCAATCTTCATTTTTTTACCTAAAAGAATTAAGTTATTGTATTGTTTAGAGATTAATATGTGATAATTCAATACAAAATTTGCTTATATATTAATTGTTATTTAATATTTTATATGATAATACAATAAGTAATGACCTATGAACTTTATTATAATATTGTGTTTGAATAAACACATAAGATAACTTGTAAATAAATTAAATATTATGGAGACAAAACTTATATAAAATTTTATTGGTGAAAAAGTTTATGAAAATTTTTTATTAGAAATGAGTTAATAAAAATTTTAATAAAAAATTTAAATTGATAGATTGATAGAATTTAATATAAATATAAATAGTATGTAAACAAATTATTAAAAATATTATTTATAATTTAAATTTGATCAATATTTATTCAATGATAAAAATATTTATTTGATAAATATATCATAATTTATTAAATTTTTTTCAAATCTTGCATGCTTAATTTATATGAAATATTTCAATTTATTGATTTTGATTTTTTATTTTAATTTTCATTTACTTATTTTTAATAAAATATTTTACCAATTTCATCTTTTTCGTTTTATGAACCGTAAAATTTTTTGTGATCATTTGAATACGATGTTGAACAACAAATTGAATTGATGTCTACTTTGACAATTGTCCTGTTCTCAATTATCATAGTTAACAAAATTTGAAGTTTGAAAAAAAAAAAAGAAAAGAAAGAAAAGGCCTATTTAATGTGGACTTGAGTAGCCTGTTGTCAATTGTCCATATGCATATGTATTTTCTATTCTTCGTATATAGCAAATGAAGGAAGTTGAAAATCAACAAGCAGCCTTCGCTAGTTTGGTTGTTGCTTTCCAAAGTTGAAGAGATCAAAGACTAATAGCTTCATTTAAGTTACCTTTGGACTAAGGGCAAGTGGGCAACCATATGAAGCATGTCTTTTTGGAACATGAACAGATCTAAATGCATCAATTTGCCTGGATGTATTTATGTTTCATTGTAATAAGTACCTTTATTATACTCATATATATCTAAATTTACTACATGAAGCCACTTATAGCCAGCATAAATAATTGCATAAAACTATAAAACAAAATTGTCTAGCCTTATTCTATGAGTGTGTGCTGCTGTCTCTATTTGTGTATCAAACACAAACTCCAAAAAATGAGTGTTTTTCTGATGTGTTTTTATGATCATGACAAAGGGTTTGAAATAGGTTTCAGAGTTAGGAATATGTAAAAATGCTATGGTAATGAAACAGGTTTCAAAGTTCAGGATCTCAATTTTGAACTTAATCATAATTTGAAAGATAATAGATTAACTACCGCCATTTTGTACGTTGCTTGGGGTATTGGAGGGAACTTCTTGGCCAGTAAAATTTGCTTCACGCATGAAATCGTAAATATTTATTAATTAATTGATCACAGGTGAAGAATATAAAAGATTTGATTGCTTGACAGCTTCAGTGATTAATTATACATATATTTCATAGAAATGAGAATCAGATTAATAAAGAATATCTTATTGCAACCGCTGAAAATTATGGATACATTATCTTTGAACATGTATCAATGAAAGAGCTGAAATAGCTGTGACAGTTCTTGAATAAACAAGGAATTGGTATTTGACTTTAAACAACGAAATGAATACTAATGAACTAAAAGAATGAATGTGTAACTTAAAACAAATCTTTCTGTTGCCAAAACAAAGTGGGGATATCACTAGTTTTGGCTAAAGGTCTACTTGTTTCTCTTACCAAGACTCCAGCCAGAATCTTCGTTACCTCTAGTATGTTTACCTGTCAATGAACTAGTGTCCTGCTCCAGGGCTTGGACCGGAGTCCTTGATGCCTCCAAGGGTTTGGCCATCAGTTAACTTGTTTCCCACACCGGGGCTTGGGCCGGAATCCTTAATGCCTCCAAGGGTTTGCCCGTCAGTTAACTTATTTCCCACACCGGGGCTTGGACCAGAATCCTTAATGCTGCCAAATGCAAAGTTGTCAATTAGTTTGTTTCCTACACCAGGGCTAGGACCACAATCCTTGATGCCTCCAATATTCAAGCTATCAGTGAGCTTGTTTCCTACACCAGGGCTTGGACCAGCGTCTTTATTTCCTCCTAGAGTGAAGCTATCACTTAACTTATTTCCCACACCAGGACTTGGACCGGAGTCCATAATGCCACCTAGAGTGAAGCTGTCGGTAAACTTGTTTCCTACACCTAGGCTCAGGCCTGAGTCCTTGATGCCTCCGAGGGTTTGGCCATCAGTTAACTTGTTTCCCACACCAGGCCTTGGACCAGAATCCTTAGTGCTTCCAAGGTTAAAGCTATCCGTTAGTTTGTTTCCTACACCTGGGCTCGGACCAGCGTCTTTAATACCTCCTAGAGTGAGGCTATCACTTAACTTATTTCCCACACCAGGACTTGGACCGGAGTCCTTAATGCCACCTAAAGTGAAGCTGTTGGTAAACTTGTTTCCTACACCGGGGCTCGGGCCTGAGTCCTTGATTCCTCCAAGGGTTTGGCCATCAGTTAACTTGTTTCCCACACCGGGGCTCGGGCCTGAGTCCTTGATTCCTCCAAGGGTTTGGCCATCAGTTAACTTGTTTCCCACACCGGGGCTTGGACCCGAATCCTTAATGCTTCCAAATGCAAAGTTGTTAGTTAGCTTATTTCCTACACCAGGGCTCGGACCAGAATCTTTAATGCCTCCTAAAGTGAGGCTATTGCTTAACTTATTTCCCACAGCAGGATTTGGACCGGAATCCTTAACGCCACCTATAGTGAAACTGTCGGTAAACTTGTTTCCTACATCAGGACTCGGGCCGGAGTTCTTTATAACTCCAAGAGTCAAGCTGTCAGTTAACTTTTGTCCCTCAACAGGGCTTGAACCAGAGTTATTAATGCCTCCGAGGGTTTGACTATCAGTGAACTTGTGTCTCTCACCACCATGGCTCGGGCCTGAGTCCTTTATACCTCCAATAGTCAAGCTGTCTATTAACTTATGTCCCTCACCGGGCCTGGGCCGGAGTTCTTAATGCCTCCGAGTGTTTGACTATCAATGAACTTGTGTCCCTCACCAGGACTTGGACCTGACTCTTTGATTGTTCCAACGTATAAGCCAATATCAAAGAAATCAGGAACCCTTCCACCAACAAAGTTTTGGGACATCAGGATACTGAAGGGATCACGAGCTTCAGCCACAACAAGAATGGAACTCAATAGTAAAAGAAAAGAAGAAAAGCTTAAAAAAGATTTGACAGTAGTCATCATATCAGGAAGTGAGAAAAAGAAAGATTTTCTGTAGGCTATTTTCTTCTTCTTGAATTAGATAAATGTTGAAGCAAAGGAATGCTGCAGTAGGTTTTTAAAGCAAAGCAAAGCACGTTTATGTGATTATTTGGTGTGGACAATGAGAATCTGATGCTCCATTTATAGCATTATTGGTGAGGAAATCAGTAGTACTATGGGTTTTTTTTTTTTGACTGGGGTAATTGCTTGAGAAATTCTTCAATCCATGCTTAAAAAAGAAAACGTGTTTAAATTTGTTCGTGCCAAGGAAACAACTAGGGAAGTTTCTGGGACTAAAGAAAAGAAAAGAAAAGCAAACAAAAATTAGGATATGGAGATTGCGAGTCTAAGCTGGAAGTGGAAGTCAGAGAAAAATCAGGTAAATGAAAGCTAGAAGTGTTGATTCTTACATTTTCCATGGCCGCCTGACGGCCTGACTGGCTCAATCGCAGCGAAAGTAGTTTTTTCCATTGGCAGCGTCCATTGGGGTGGACCAAAGACCATGCAAAAGAAAAAAAAAAACATTTGAATTTCCAAGGCCTTCAGGAGTTAATTACAGGTGTGACGAGATTTCCCGGGAAAATAAAGGTTTGACTGGTCAGTCAGTCAGATCTAGGTTCCATGATTGAAATTAATGCAAATTTTTTTTTCTGAAAACCATATTGCTCTTTTTTTTCTTAACTTCAACAAATTAAAATGAAACACACGCATTAAAGATTATTAAACTCATTGCTAATTGTTATTAATTTGATAAATTATTACTTATTATTTAGTTTCATTACATTATAAGTTGCAAAAATCTTGATAGTATAGTATGCAATTTAAAATTTATGTCTATGGCCATTAAATATACAAATATTGATATGTAAATGTCAAAGATTATAGATTACTAACTAAAGAACTTTCCTTTTTGATTAACATTCTGATTTTTTAAATTAGATTAAGTACTTTAAAAATGATTTACTATAATTAAATTTTTTTTGAAAGATTTACTATAATTAATTTACATGTTCTCTTCTTATGCCTCTTTGGTTTTTATGTTTCAGTCACATGGTATATTAATTTATTCTATAAACCCTCCCTTTTGAATTTTGATGCCTAAAATTAATTAATTCAACCAATTGATTATTCAAAATTTCCACAATGATCAATAATATATGTTTCCAAAAGATACACTAAAAGATTTTTTTTGGTAAGTCTAAAAGGTTAGTTTGTTAAGATAACTCAATGAACATGGAGCAGCAAAGCTAGAAATTTTTTTACATTAAAATTTTTTCCAATTTTTACTTTAATTTATTATCATTTCTTTCATGCATAAAATTTCTTTAATTGATTAAAAAGCTTCTTATTACTTAATCTTACTTTTTGTTTGGTACCTATATATAAAGGTAGTTAATTGGGGGAGGAGATTCAAATTGTATGCCTCAATCCCCTTAAATTAAGAAGAATAACAATTGCTAGCTAGGTTGAGTCGTGTTTATTTAATCTTGCCTGTACTTGGTATGCTGCTTCTTTTTACACTTGTTTATCTTACCAGTTATATAAGCTTAGATTAGATAAGATTTTTTTTTTCCATTTTTCCTCCATATACTAATTATAAGCAATTAAGAATGATAACAATTGTGGAAACTTTTAATTTTAGTTATCAAGATTCAATTTTTTCTTAAATTAAAAAAAAAATCTTGATATACTATAAAATATATGTAAAAGAACACTTCTAAGGCTTGCGACTTCAATTTGAAGGTTTCAAGTATGAATTTTTAAATACGAGAGATGAGATTTATGAAATAAAATAAAAGAGTATATATAAATATATATATATATCTTACTATATAGCTTAAGGTCACATATAACCAAAAAAAAAAAACGAGTGATAATTAAATTAGTTATAAATTATTTATAAAAATAATTTTCTTATAGAAATATATACAAAAAATTAATTGTGTTCTCATAAATAAAATTTTTTATCAACACATAATTAATTTTATTTTATGAAATCAACACATAATTAATCAAACTATAATTTAATTTGTCACTTAAATCTCTCCCACCAATAAAGTAAGACATTGATTTTGTTTTTGGCTTAAATGGCATAATACCATTTGCTAATAATCTATCAGAGATTTTTCAAATACATACATGGATTTGTTACCATAAAAGATTGTATAAATCTGAATTCAAGTTGCCTGCCATAAAAGCAAGATGTGGTTTTCTAAAATTTAGAACTTGCTAAAATATGCATGGAATATAAATTAGGGGGTCAATAATCAAAGAATAATCACACCCCTTAATCAAACAGTGTTTGGCCTAAATCCTTGCAAAACAATGGAGACTGAGGGAGTACAGGTGATAATGGTGACCTTAGCCTTGCAAGGTCACATGAATCCCATGCTCAAGCTCGCCAAAGTGCTCGTGTCAAAGGGCGTTGATGTCACCCTTGCCACCAATGATGTCGCCCGTAAGCACATGCTAGACTCCAAAATCTCCACCAAGTTCACCTCAAATAGCCCTGGTCGACTCAATCTAGAGTTCTTCCCTGATGGTCTCAGCCATGACTTCGATCGTGACAAGGATACTGGCACTTTCATTGCTTCACTGAAGGCAAACGGACCCAGGAATCTGTCAAATATCATTGCGGATCTCAAAGCTAAGGGAATTGAATTCTCATGCCTTATCACCAGCCCCTTTATCCCATGGGTACCAGGTGTTGCTGCTGAACATGGGATTCCTTGTTGCGTACTTTGGATCCAATCTTCAACTGTTTTCTCCATTTATTATCATTTTATTAAGCGTCCAGGCTTGTTTAGCAACTTGGAAAACCCCAATGGGAATGTAGAGCTACCTGGAATACCAATGATTAAGGTGGAAGATCTTCCAACTTTTATGCTTCCTTTTAGTCCTGCTCACTTTCGGCTATGGGTTGCAGAATTCGTTTCAGTTTTGGATAAGATACAATGGGTTTTAGGAAACTCTGTTCATGAGCTTGAAGAGGAGATTGTGAACTCATTGGCGTCAGTTAAACCGATTTATCCCATTGGTCCATTGGTGTCACCTTTTCTTCTAGGAAAGGAAGAAACAGTTGAAGGAAGTGTTGATATGTGGAGTGCCGCAGATTCTTGTATTGAGTGGCTTAACAAGCAGCCGACTTCCTCAGTCATTTATATTTCTTTTGGCAGCATCATTGTGACATCAGAGCAGCAAATTCAAAGCATTGCCACAGCATTGAAGAATATCAACAGACCATTTCTTTGGGTTGTTAAAGCATCAGAGGCGAGAAAAGACGAATTCCCAGACGGATTCTTTGAAGAGACCAAGGAGAAAGGTCTTGTTGTTTCATGGTGCCCTCAAGAGAAAGTGTTAATGAACCAAGCAGTGGCTTGTTTTGTGACACATTGTGGCTGGAACTCGGCCCTAGAAACTGTGGTGGCTGGCGTGCCTGTTGTTGCCTATCCAGAGTGGACGGATCAACCAACGAATGCCAAGCTCTTGGTTGATGTTTTCAAGATTGGGGTGAGGATGAGAAATTGTGAAGATGAGACACTAAGCGTAGAAGAAGTTGAAAGGTGCATTATGGAGGTCATTGATGGACCAAGAGCGGAGGAGATGAAGAAAAGGGCATTGGAGTTGAAAGAGGCTGCAAAGAAAGCATTGGAAGATGCTGGCTCTTCGAATCAGAACATTGATAAATTTATCAGCGAAATCGCTGGCAAGCCCGTGGGCAATAATGTTTAATTTATGATCTATATAAGAAGTTTTATTAAATATAAGTAAATACAAAGTTTAATATTGATGAAGTTTAATGTGAAAATCAATAATATATAAAAAATATATTAAAAGTATTGTTTATAATTCAAATTTAATCGATACTTATTTAATGGTAAAATTTTTATCAATATATTTTACTTTAAATGTCTATTTAATAAATATATCAAAATTTATTAAAATTTATTAAATTTTATACATTTGATCTATATGATGAGATTTTTTAATTTACTGATTTTAGTTTTTATTTACTCATTTTTAATAAAAAATTTTACAAACTTCACTTATAAAATTTTATGTAAGTTTTTCCCTTGTTTTACATGCCATTCGTGTTAATCATTAAGATTTATTTGTTTTATGCATGACTTTTTTCCTTATTTTTTATAATATTTCAACTATGAGAGTGGTGTAAGAATAAAATAGAATAACTTCATTCTTTGTTATTTTTTATAATTTTTCTATTTTTTTAGAGAAAAATTTCATTAGTTGTTATTTTTAATAATTTTTTACTTTTTAGGAAAATACTCTCATTATTTATTCATTTTACTATTTTTTGAAACATTTTCATTACTTTTTTTTAATAATTTTTCTATTTTGTAGAAAAATACTATCATTACATATTCATTTTGATAATTTTTTTATTTTTTGAAAAATACTCCCATTGCTTGTTTCTTTTGATGATTCTCTTTTTTTTTTTTTTTGAAAAACAACTATCTAACAATTAATTTTTGATTTATAACATTAAAATTTGCTTATTCTATGCAAGGAACATTCTTTGATTTTTATCAAAAAAATTCCATACAAAAGGGCAATGAATCTGCACATATGCAATCACAATATATATATATATATATTTATAAATATAATTTTCATTCATCTTTAAATTATGAGAATAAATATATCTCATTTATTTTCATATATTTTACCTTTTAATTATACTAGTGTATGAGAACTTTTTATATTAAGAATTCTCATGTAGAAGGTAAAATGTAAATATTTAATTTTGGTTATTAATATTATTTTTTTATATTTTTCTAAAGTTTTTAAAGTTGAAGATAAGATAGAATAGGAAATAAGATTGTTTCAGTAAAAATTATTTTATAAAACAATTATTCATGAAATAACTCTTTCACAGAATACTTGTTCACAAAACAACTATTCAAAGAATAACTTTTTCATGGAACAACACCTTCATGAAACAATTATTCTCATAACAGTTTCCTCAAGGAACAATACTTACACTTTTACCCAAAATTCTTTCATCAAAAGTTACTTTACTAATAGTTATTCCACAAAAGACGTTTCACTGAATGTTACTTCATCGAAAATAAGAAATGAAAATAACCCCAAAATATTATAGGATTTTTGGGTTAACTTTACTAATGGGATGTTCCAGAGTTTAACTTGGTAAATAAGATATGAAGATAGCTAAGAGGTATTTTTTTAACCTTTCTCTGAAGTATAAGTATTTCTCTCTCTCTCTCTCTCTCTCTCTCTTTTAATAATAAATAATGAATTTCTATGTTCACTATATTTATCACTAAAAGTTAATTAAATTCCCATTAGGTAATGCATTAACATCTTTTATAATTGTCAATTTCATAATTATTCCTATTTAATACTCAAGATATGTAACTCTTATTCTTGAAACCTATAAATAGGAGTTTCCACGATTCATTGGGGATTTTTAGATTTTGGTAGATTTCTCACAACTTTTTCTCAAACTCTCTTTACAATTCTCTTTTCCTAAATTCCTTTCTAACCTAATTCTCTCCTTGACCTAACCTTATTTCATTGTCGACCACTATTTGTCATTATACTCAATGCTTTAGGGTCTGCTTTGGTGTTTCTCTTTGCCTTTTTTCAACACATCTCATTTTATTTTTTTGCAATGCATCCTCATTGTCTCTAAAGAACACTTTTACATTGATTCAACATAAGGAAATGTAATGATTGATTGGAAAATGCTTAGACTCTTTTTTTTTCTCAACTTATATGTTAAAGTCACATAATGTAGCACACAATATCAAGAGAAATGTGACTTTATATTATTAATGTAAATATAAATACATTTTATTATTTTTTTTAAAAATATTTTTTAAAAATAAAATTTCAAATAGTCATAAATGTGTAAAACCAAAAAAAAAAAGCTTAATATACAAAAAATAGATAAAATTAAGCAAAAATCTCATTAATAGTTTATCAAACCTTTACATGAGTTCCAGTTTGATCAATCTTTATGATCTTAAAAAAAAAAAAATAGAAAATTAAGAGAATCTTATAAGGAAAATTGTTATCTTCACTTAAAATGGCAAAACTTGTTTAAATTTCAAAGAAATATGAATTGATGGGGAGACAATTAACATGATAGTGTCTATTGACTTTTGTATTTAAAATCTGATCAAATTTGAATTAGACCTATTCACAGACTAGATGACTCGTAAACATTATTAGTTTGTATTTTCAAAAAACCAAAATAAAAAAATTAATTAAAATTCATATCTTTAAAAGTAGCATTATTGACATTAGCCACTAGGCAAGTTTAGAAAAAAATATTTAACCATTGGATTAACATATACTTTTTTTTTTCTTTTGGCCAATTTTTTACATATGCTTAAAAGCACAAAATTAAATTGATTAAAATTGAGATAAAAGGATTAAAATGAACAGTTTCCTTTAATATAAGGACCTATCATATACTTATACCAATTATTTGGCAACGCCTATAAAATGTTTATACTTTCTCACTTCATTGTCAATGATTTCCTTCCACCTACAAATCAACACTACAAGAAATAAAATATTAGTGGTAGTTTTGTAGCAGTGTTCACTTACAAATGTCGCTAGCTTTCATGTTTTTATAAAACTTAAGGCGTTTATTATCAAAACGTCATTAAATATTCAAATAATGATATTGTTACTTATAAATGTCACATAGGACTTTATATTAATGGTGTTTATTGACTAAAACGCCTTGAATAATTATGTCTTAAAATTTTGAGTGAATACTAAAGGCGTTTTGAGTAGAAAACAACTTGAATAATCCCGTTAAAAAATTTATAGGGAATTATTGAAGGCATTTTTGGTAGACAACACCTTCAATAATCCCATAATAAAAAAATGCATGTGATTATTGAACATGTTTTCTACAAGAAACGTCTTTAATAATTTTATAAAAAAATTTTATAGGCTTATTGAAGGCCTTTTTGGTAAAAAAATGCCTTCAATAAATATCATATTAAAATTTTAAGATCATACAAATGTTAATCATAAGGTGATAAGTTCGATCCCTCATTTTAACTTTTTTTAGATTTTTGCAGAGATTATTTGTAATGAATTATTCTAGGTATTTTTTAGGCAAAAATGCCTTCATTAATTGCTTTAAAAATTTTTGAAAAGAATATTGAAGACGTTTTGGGTAGAGAAATGCCCTTAATAATTCATAGAAAAAATATGAAACCGATTCTTAAAGGCATTTTTTGTCGAACTCGCCTTCAATAATCTAATCAATAAATTTTTAGTTTGAATTATTAAAGACGATTTTTGTCAAAAAAGCATTCAATAATCCATACACAAAAGTTGGAACGGATTCTTAATGGTGTTTTTGGCTCAAAACACCTTTAATATTTCACATGATAAATTTGAATGGTAGGATTATTAAAGGTGGTTATTTTCAAAAATGCCTTCAGTAACATTTTGTTAGAGATTATTCAAAGCATTATCGATAGAAAAATGCCCTTAATAATCAATTCAATTAATTTTTAGTTGGTATTATTGAATGTGTTTTTTTTTTTTAAAATGCCTTCAATAATCCATACAAAAAAGTTGAAACAGATTCTTGAATGCGTTTTTTGTCCAAAACGTCGTTAATATTCCACACAATAAATTTTTAGGTAGGATTATTGAAAGTGATTTTGGTAAAAAATACCTTCAATAACATTTTATTAGGGATTATTCAATGTATTTTGTTGCTAAATATGCCCTTAATAATTCATTAAAAAAATATAGAATAGATTCTTGAAAGCGTTTTTAGGTTAAAGTGCCTTCAATAATCCAATCAATAAATTTTTAAAAGAAATTATTGAAGGCAGTATTTGTCGAAAATGCTTTCAATAATCTATACACAATATTTGAAATGGATTCTTGAAGGTGTTTTTATCCCAAAACGCCTTTAATATTCCACACAATAACATTTTGTTGTAGGATTATCAAAGGTAATTTTGGTTAAAAATATCTTTAATAACATTTTGTTATGGATGATTTAAGGTGTTTTCTTTCTAAAAATGTCTTTATTAATCCCATAAAAAAAAACATTTTTGATTTTGTATATGTCAAGTCAGTTGTAGGTTTATGCCCATAAAATATTTGAAGTCAGTTGTATATTTATGCCCAGAAAATATTTGGTATTATGAATTACATTTTGGAATTTACATCATGAACATTATTGTATTTCAATAAATTGACCACACATCCAAAATTAAAATCGATAACGTTGCTATATTAATATATTTTTCTGAAATAATCATACTCAATAATATATTAAGTACACAATGAATTCATATTAAGTATACCAATAATATTAAACCAGTATCCCAATCTACAAACTTAAAGTTTCCATTCAATATGGTGCCGTAATGATTTTAAGGCCGTCAGATATAAAGAATTTTAAAATCAAGAAAAAATGGGGGGAGTCACCACCAATCTTTTTTAGGGTGTGATTGGCCATCCAAAAATTTATCTTTTTTAATAAAACTATAAAAGTGGATCCAAAGTTTATTAGAAAGATAGATTTGGTCTACAAAAGCCAAATTGGGTCCGAGAGTCGGTTACGTGCAGGAAGGATTAGCACCCCCACTACGCCCATAAATTGGTACCATTTAATCACACGCTGTTTTCGATGTTGGATGAAATGGTTTTGATTTGAAATTTAATACTAATTCCCTTCATTTAAAGAATTTTTTTTGCTAAAT